CCTCAATATCCACATCCAGGACTGTCCCCTCCTCCCGCTGTGCAGGGAATGCAGCCCCAAAGGGCCCTACCTGCATGAGGACAGCCCTGACGGTGGACTTGCCCATGCCAAACGGGTTGCCCACCGACTGGTAACTGTCAGGTGTGGCGAGCTTCCAGAGGGCGATGGCGACTCTCTTCTGCAGGGGGATGGCTGGCTGCAGGTGGGTGTCTTGTCTCTGGAGCGCGGGGGCGAGCCAGGTATAGAGCTCCAAGAAGGTATCCTTCCTCATTCAGAAGTTGTGAAGCCACTGCTGGTCATCCCAGCACTCCATGACCAGCCGGTCCCACCAGTCGGAACTGATGTCCAGCCTCCAGAACCACCTCTCCAGGGTGGGCTGCCAGTTCAGCAGTGAAGCTGCCGCACCCCAGGAGAGGGACTCCACAGTGTCGTCATGGTCGAGCTCCTGCAGTAGCAGCATGGCACGTGTATCCTGTGCAGCACACACTCGAGCATGGCTGTGTGGGGCCAGGACATGCCCAGGGACAGCTCCGGCTCCATGGCAGCAATCAAAAGGCAATGGAAAGCTGTGTTGTCCCAAGAAGCACAGGGCAAGCAGAGCAAGCACTGCTGAAGTGTTGCTGTCCCTCGAGAGAGGTCCGCAAGCAGGCACCAGAAGCAGAGAAACGGCTGTCCAAGAGGGTCCCTTTAAGCGCACGTCTCTGCAGGGCTCCGGCACCAGCCCTCAGAAGCAACTGGAGACCTGTCCTGCCTGAAGTGTTTGAGTCGCCTTTCTTGTGCAAGAGCGTCCACGCAGTGAAGACACTCTCTCTTGTGCAAAAGCACATGGCAATGTGGATGCTCTGTTGCACGAGAACTTTTTGCGGAAAATCTCTTCTGCAAAAAGTTCTTGCGCAAGAAGCCTGTAGTGTAGACGTAGCCTAAGACAGGTTGCAAGGACTCTAGGAGAGAATACAAAGCAATACAGAAGAGTTTATATTAGCAAACCAGAACAAACTGCTAAAACCATATATATTGTATAGTACAATCAACTACCATCTTGAGTGGGAGGAGACATTTCTCTATTTGGCCTTGTTAAGGCTAGGAAGATAGCTGTTTGGTTTTTTTTGTTAGCTTACACATTTTAATGGCTGTGTCTAGACTGCATCCCTTTTCCGTAAAAGGGATGCAAATTAGACACATCACAATTGCAAATGAAGCGGGGATTTAAATCCCCCCCACTTCATTTGCATAAAAATGGCTGCCGCTTTTTTCCGGCTTGGAACTTTGCCTTTTTCCCAGCTGGGAGCTTTGCTGAAAAAAAGCGCCAGTCTAGACACGGATCTTTCGGAAAACAAAGCCTTTTCCGAAAGATCCCTTATTCCTTCGGAAAATAAAGCCTTTTCCGAAAGATCCCTTATTCCTTTTAGAATAAGGGATCTTTCGGAAAAGGCTTTGTTTTCCGAAAGATCCGTGTCTAGACTGGCGCTTTTTTCTGGCAAAGCTCCGAGCCGGAAAAAAGCGGCAGCCATTTTTATGCAAATGAAGTGGGGGGGATTTAAATCCCTGCTTCATTTGCAATTGCGATGTGTCTAATTTGCATCCCTTTTACGGGAAAGGGATGCAGTCTAGACACAGCCAACGTGTTTTTAAATACTAACCCAGGCAGGATCAATGCTCTTAAAAATGTGTATGCTGGTTATAGGCAACCCAAGTTTCCCTGCCCCACTATGAATCTTATTTGGTAATTGAAAAGTAGTTTGCTCACTGTTAAATTTAACAAATAATCAAAATAAAAAAATACTGTACATTTTTCCAGAAAAGTTTGCATCTCCTATGCAATCCAATGGTGAGATTTATTGCCCGTATCAGTTGTCTGATGTAGGCTGATCGTCAGCATAGTGACAAGTTGGCTCTTGTAGAAAGAAATCTTCCCCTTCTCAATTATAAAAACCTGAAAGTTAATAGGCTATTTCTAAAAACTCTTAATCTCATTATAAATATTTAGATAGTCTAGGGATAACTGCTTATTGCTGATCTTTAAGGAGCAGCCTTTACAGGCTCTGTACGTGGAACTCAGTGTGATCAGATTTATGTATGTCACAGGCTTAAACTTTCTTAAAAAGAAATGTTTCCCTGGAGCAGCTCTGCGTGAGAGCATATCCATTTGTGCAGTCACCTTGTCTTAGCTCCTGCACACAAGGATGATCATACACTGCTTCACTGAGAACTGCAGCTGCTGTTCAACAACATCTCCTAAGCTTTGGGCAGCTTTCAAGAAAGAATGAGAATCTAGTGTTCATTTACCTGAAACAGCCAATGCCATAACCTGGGGGACTCTGCGCTGGTTACTGGTCTCTCTGTAGAGCCTCTTCCCCTCTAACAGTGGTTCATGCAAGCTTTCACTTGCAAACTTATTTTTATAGACTTAGCCATTGTGGCCTGAAATCTAAATGATGGTGGCATGACTATTTCTAGCAGCAAAGAAGGGGTTTCTGCACTTATATTCTCTTCTTAGTTTAGGGGGGTCAATGAAATTTGCAGAGACAGTATCTATTACAACTTCTCTACTATGGCAGAGACTAGAATAGAAAAGTAAAAAAGACTTCAGTTCTCTGTGTGGCCTGTGTACAATATAGAGGAAACAGGACCAACTGGTTCCATGCTGCTGTTATGATCCATGTTACGGTCAGACTAACAAACAGAAGTGAAAACAAAAGCTAATGCATTGAATAAGTGGTTCCCAATACCACAGCTGGTTCTGCCGTAGCCAAATTTTCTCCTATGACTGGAATTAGTTTGAATTAATATTAAGCACAACAGGAAATGAGTTCAACAGAGTGCACCAGTTAACCCAGACCTGCTGCTGCTGTGAGCTCCAGCACCAAAGAGTTAATGTGCCTTTCTGAATGGAAGCTTTCTCTGCACACATTGACCTCATGGGGGCTTCCGCTCATTTGCAATGTGACTTTGTAGATAAGGCACCCAGATTTCTAATTTTCAGTGCAAGCGTTTCTGCACCAGAATGCCTTAAAGAAGCCAGGTCTGTAAATGAGCATGAAGGTGGTGAGAACCCGACTGTCCCCATTCTAGGGGTTGGGATCCTTCCCACAATCCACACTCACTCAGGCTACAGTGGGTCTCATCATCGTGAGTGGCTGCACGTCCCCTTTTCTTTTCCCGTCACCAATATCCCTCTGTGTTCCCCACAAGTCCCATACCCGCGCAAGTAATTCTCCAGTCTCTTGGCTTAGGTATCAGCCTGGCACACTCGTTGAGTGTAGGGGGGACTGGTCCCACCCCCACTCCAAGACCGTAAGAGCAGGGATGACAAACCTCTACTTGGTTGGTGGGGACTCGTTCCACAACGCACCAACCTGCGAGGTTTTCAGCCAGGCTCTATCCACAGTCTGATGTCCTTTCCCCCCTCCTGGGTTGCTTCCTACCCTCTATTCGCTGCTTTGTCAAGGGTTCATGCAGACAGCCCTCTCTCGCATGGTGGTCTGCTCCGGTGACACCAGCTCTCCCGCAGTCGGACCCATTTTAGGGGTTGGGAAACCCACGCCTGTCCTCAGAGAATCACTGGCCCGCAATCCCTCTCGCCAGCCTCCTCGCCCCTTTTCACTTGGGGCCGCTAGCTTTTCAAATCCGGCGTCTGCCTTCCGGGACACTTGTGCAGGCGCTGTCCCGCTAGCTGGCAAGCTGGCCAGGGGCACTTCCACGCATGCGCTAGCGGTGGTCAGGGAACAACCCTGGCACTGCCACGCTGCAACAGCCCCGTGGACCGAGAGCTCTCTGCCTGTCAGTACGGGGTTCGGAGGGCTCCACTTCGCAGAGTCCCAACTCCCCGTCACACCGACTCTTCAGTAAAGAAATTGGTTTCTTTTCCATCAAAACAGACATATAGCTCTGCCATTCCTATTGCCACCACTGTTTCGGACTGGAAAGGGATGGCATTTAGTAGACACTCTGACCAGCTGTACAGAGGGGTTTACAGCTGAGGAACGTTCCAAAATATCAACACATAAAACACAGCTATTTTTAGCTCTCTTCCCCCTTCACTCCCCTTCCTTATGACTTGCTGATAGCATCACTATGTTTAAACAGTGCCTTGCTCTCTTGTCTATCTCCTCTTCCTCTTCGATCACTGCTGAATTTGTAACAGGCTACCTGCATAAGTACAAGACTGTAACTTTACTGAAAGATGAAGCAGCAGCTTATGTAAGGACAAAATATTGGTCTCTGCAGCACAGGGCCAAAGAATAATTGCCAGTTAAATTGTTTTTCATATAAAAGTTCAAGATATGAATTCAGTGCTGGGAAAGTTACCAGTGTAAGAGGGTCATGGTTTAAACAGACATGGCTGAAACATCAGCAGTGCAAGTTACCTCCATGGCCCTGTGTTGGGGAGAGAAACCGCCTCTGACGATAAATTCAGTCTCCATGACCATTCTGTCTTTATCCTCCTTGGCATGGATCACTATCCAGCAGGTCCTAAATTGAGGCCATTAGCAGCCATCATCTGGTTAATACCTTAGGGTACATCTAAACTACATGGCTCCGTTGACGGAGCCATGTAGATTTGTTGTTTTGGCAAAGTCAAATGAAGCCACGATTTAAATGATCACGGGCTAGTCTGGACGCTCCCCTGCCGACATCAAAGCCCTTTGTCAGCAGCCCCAGTAAACCTCATCCCACGAGGAATAATGGGGCTGCCGACAAAGGGCTTTGATGTCGGCAGGGGAGCGTCCAGACTAGCGTGCTGAGCGGACAAACAGCTGATTAGCTGTTTGTCGGCTCAGCGCGGCAGCCATGTAAATTTAAATGAAGCCGCGATCATTTAAATCGCGGCTTCATTTGACTTTGCCTATGTGTCTAATCTACATGCCTCTGACGACAGAGGCATGTAGTCTAGACACAGCCTTAAAGTCATTATCCATCCAGTTTGTGGTGTGAGTAGCTAAAGGTTTTAGATCCTGTTGTTATGCTACTGAGCTATTCAGTCTTCTTGTGTGTAAGCCCATTTTTTAAATTGCCCTCAAGCTGCTCCCTGTGGGGATAGCCACAGACTTGCCTGTATAGCTGTAAGTGTCATAAGCTGAGGCCCATGTCCCAAGACTCTCTATATAACTCAAGTGTTTGTAATGCACAATGAGTAGCTGGGATACAAGGCACTAACTCTTATCCTTCACCATCAGCCATAGTTTTCCATGCGCATGAGGAATGGCACTTTGACTAGTACAGACTATTCAGAGCAGGTGGAGGGAGATAGGAAGAGGCAGGCTTGGGAGGAAGATGTGAATTTTGCCTGCCTGGGAAAATCCTGTATATTTTCTTTGCTGATAGACTGGAAATGTTTACAGATTATATTAGAATCTTGAAATGTATCTCCAAATGTGTTTAAAAATATGCATTTGTAAGACAAATAAAAAAATCGTGTACAAGAAATTAACAGCGGTATCATTATTTCTGGTATGGACTGATTAAACTCATTGCCCTGTATGCTGAGTTTGGAGCACACCCAAGCCCTACAGCTCACCTGATAGACTGGAAATGTTTACAGATTATATTAGAATCTTGAAATGTATCTCCAAATGTGTTTAAAAATATGCATTTGTAAGACAAATAAAAAAATCGTGTACAAGAAATTAACAGCGGTATCATTATTTCTGGTATGGACTGATTAAACTCATTGCCCTGTATGCTGAGTTTGGAGCACACCCAAGCCCTACAGCTCACCTGCTGCTGTCCTGGGGTGAAACGTATTAGAAAGCTCCTGCTCGAGGTTGTAAGCTTTTATTGCACGTTTTCCCTTGATCACAGGAAAAGCTGTGCTGGAGGGACCATTAACAACCCTTTAAGCAGTGAATAAATAGTAAAGGTTCATAGCAAGAGAAATGAGAACCAGGGCAGGGCCTAAGCAATGCTAAGCACTTGCAGTGCTTTCTTTTACCAATTGCCACAACCTCCTGCTGCCTTGAGGGGAACAGAACTAGAGCCATGCACAAAATGCTCCAGCCTCAGTGGCCCTGAATAAGAGGGAGCAACACACTGTCCCAGTATATAGGATGGAAGGGGATGAGAACTAAAGGAAGCACTAGTGGCAGTGCTGTAGCCTGTGAAGAAAGTTGTTAATTAGCACACACCAGTCTCTGTGCTGTTTGCGGGCAGTTCTACTTCTGGACAGTTTTTAAGGGCCTTTCAGAAATCATTGTGTTGCTTCCCTGGAACATAAAACAGATGAGACATGCTATCCTCATTTTAGGGTTTTTAATGTAAAAGAGGTCCAAATGAAAAGGAACTGATTATTGAGCTAATTATTACAGGAGAAGGGACAGGTTTGAATTATGGGAGTCATTACTAAGCCATGCCTTGGAACTGCACCAGCACAAGAAATATTTTCATCTCCCGCAAGAGAAAAGTCACTGTTTTCTCCTTCACCCATCCAGTGGATAAGTCTCTGTTAAGAAAGGAGAGCATTGCATAAAGCAGTCACAGCAGTGGCTGGTTCACACCTACTAGTTGGGGCCTTGCCCAATATAGGCAATGGCGTATTCCATTTGGTGACAGTGGAATGCTGCTCTTCCTTTTTATACCTCCTCCACCTGCTTCAGTGTGTACTCCAGGATAGTGTCTAGCCCTTGGAACTTAAAATAGCCAATGAACAACTTCTTTTGGAGCAACAGGGGAAACCAGTAGACATCATCTGGCCACATGTGACTGAAAGGCACCTGATCCAGCTGAAACCACTGTGGACGCATTTCTAGAAAAAGAAGAATAAAGAGGTTTAGGTAAACTTATTTCACTGCCACTTTTTAAAGTGGATATCCTAAAGAGATGGAAAACACCTCCAACAACTATGATCCATAGGCCTGCACATCTAGTAGCTTCCTTATGGGGAGGGACGGGGCAGTTGTCGGTGGAAACTGTCCAGAGTGAAAAGGCAGGACTTAGAAAGGCCACAGGCTGCTATTGTTGATCAGGCGATATATCCCTAGTCGGCCACCCTCCCCCCTTTCTAGTAAACCCTGGGAGGTAGTTTATTCTAGCCAAGAGAATGAGGGCGGAGAGTCCACAACTAATATTGGGAAGAGGTAAGGAAGAAGACAAATTAAGTGTGCACTAAAGAGGGGCATACAAGCATGGGACCAGCATCACCCCTCTCATCATATGCTTTTAAGTATTAGGAAATAGGGGCAAACAAATCTTTGTGTTGCCACTTGTCCATGCTCCTACCATCACTTTCTGTTGGCTCCCCATGAAAGCTGTCCGTCCGGAAGATGTGGACTTCCATGAGCTCAGAGTTGCCTACAAACTCAAAGGTGATCTGACCCATCTTCTGCAAGTTGTCTACAATTAATCCACTCTCTTCCAGCAGCTCCCTGCAAGAGGGATAGATATATTTGAATGAGGGCGAACAGTGGAGAAACAAACTCTGCAGTTAACATCTGCATGTTCACCACTTTGGGGTGAAGGCAGAAAGACCGCCTGCATCTTTTGCACAAACTTGAAATGAAGAATTGAAGGGAGAGAGGGGAGTTGAGAACTAGGAAAAAAGGACACTTAAAAGCAGGAGTTAGCGTCAAATTGGCAACTTGCCAGAAATGTGGAGGGTAAACCTACCAGTGTAAGATGACAGCAAAATGCAACTCAAAGCGCATAGTTCTAAGCAAATAATGTTCCAGATTGAATTCCAAATTGCCAGCACACTTGGCTCAAAGCATGCTGAGGCATACACCTGTCCTGGATGAGAACTATTAGGAATCACTCGTTAGTTAGCCCTTGCTCTAAATGATGCATCATGAAATGCAGAAAGCAGGGAACTGTTAAAAACATGTGCATGTGAATTTTGCTATTTGGATGATGGCATATTCCAGAAACTATAATGGAGGACTGGAAGAAAATAGAATCCTGTGAGTAGAAATCTCCTCAGTTGATTTAGAACAAGCCTACTGCTCATTGCTAGAAGCAGGCTACTACAAATGTTCTATATACTTACAATAGGAAAAATTCAAGGTAAAAAAGGGACATTTTAGAGAAAGGAGTTAGAGGAAAAATTAGATTTAGGTTTTAACAGTTGAACTGTGCATTTTGCAATAAGTCGGGTTATTCAGATATTAATCCTCTTGCAATGGGCAGATCCTTTTAAAGATATACTACAGCTGGGTGAAAACTCTCACCATGTCCAGCCTCACTGGGAATAGCACCTCCATGGCTACGTCTACACTGCAATGCTATTTTGGAATACTGGAGTATCCCGAAATAGCTATCCCATGTCTTAACAGCAAGCCCATTATTTCGGGCTCACTATTCTGATGTCCCTGTACACCTCATTCCACGAGCAGTAAGGGATGTTTCAGAATAGCAGGTTATTTTGAAATTATGAAATAAGGTATTTTGAAATAAGATAGGCAATTTGCGTAGCTCAAACTGTGTATTTTATTTCAAACTACAGTGCAGTGTAGACATAGCCTATGGGATCCTTCCCCAAGGCAGTGCATAGTACTTCTCAAACAGCAGGTTAGCTAACCCTTGTGATATCTTGGTGAGGAAGATAAGTAAATACAGGGATGTCTGCATTTTCTAATTAAATTCAGCTACTGCTGTTTAATAGCATCACACACTAGGTAATGGCTTAAAAAAAGGGGGGGGGGGGGGGGGGGGGGGAGATTTTGGAAGGTAGGAGGCAATGGTCACAGCTGAAATTTGTGCAGAACTGTTGGGTTAGTAGATCTACTGTTAGTCTAAAGGTTTCCCACTGAAGTATTGATCTGGCTCACCTTTTAATATAGACATTATGAATCTTCAGCAGTATTTTGCAGGTCAAATATGTAACAGCTTTCTTTGCCAATCTGGTTTGCCAATACAAAAATCTGAAGCGAGCTGTGTTCAAAGGATGGAATTACTGGGCTTCGTTCCAATACTGATGCAGGATATCATCATAATCCATGTGATGCCAAATATTTTACTTCCTATTTAGACCAGTGTAAATAGTCATCAACCATTACAAAAAAGCAGCAACTGCACTGAACTTTGTGTACATACTACATGAAAGTATGAGAAACTAGGAGTATATGCTTAAAATTCTGATGTCTTCTCTAAAGTTGCCAACCAGCCAATTCCCAACTTCATCACGCAGGGCTTGGGCCACTGGCAGAAAAACAGACTTAACTATTTTATTTACACTGTAGGCAGTTTTTTGCACGTCCCCTGGAAGGCTGGCTGTGGAACTCTGAGGTTGGTTCAGAGTTCTTCCACTGTACAGCAATAACTAATATTTTGAGAGCTCAGTATTTAATTAAAGTTAGACCTGAATTTGACATGAATGTGCAGTAGAATTTTTTTTCAGGAATATTATTTTTGGGAGGGCAGCAATTCTCCAGTTAAATCTAATGAGAACCTTCTGTAAGATTCTGGCATCAATGTGATGAATCCCATTTTTTAGAAACACTTATTTCATGGTTTGACTAATTTTAGTTGATCTTCCTGGAAGACAGGGTAGTGTCTAAAATAGATGTTTTCTCAGCACTAGAGCTTAAAGCTTCACTTCACAGGTTGTGATAATTGGACAGCAGAGTGTGACACTGCTATGGTTTTCTAAGCATTTTGATTCAGTCCAATTCCCTACATGGTGGCTGGAAACATAATGGGTAAATATGTAAACTAGAAATAACAAAAAAGTTCAATGCTTCCTTAATAAGATAATGTGACATGGTGAACAATGGTGGGTGTTTGGGAGCCCTATGGGATACTGTGCATCAAGTCAGCTCCAGTAGCTGTTGTTGAAGCAGGAAATATCTCTTGATCTAGGACTCAGATTAACATTCATTATGTATGCTAAGCCACTACCCAGAGATAGGATCATATCACAACCCCAGTGGAGATGACACAAGAGAGAGACAGATCCAAGAGGCCAGTGCATTTGGAAGTTCGGAGTTCCCCAGAGTGACACTGCTGTCAGCTCTGATGAGCTGCTACAAGAAGTCTCCTGCTCAAACTGCTACACACATAGAGCAACATCCTTTATCAGGGTGCTGACCACACTGTCTGTGATAACTGAAACATTACAAGTATGACTAAAAACTCTTGCATGTTAAAGCCACAGCTTCTAAATCCAAAATTGGCAAGTTTACACCTTGGCTAGTGAGTGGGTCGCATGAGTGGCCCACAATATGCAGTGTTGTTGTAGTAACGGTAGAACCTCAGTGCTGGTATGAGGCTTAGCGTATGCAGTTCTTTGAGAACTTTACAAGCAGGGCCAGCCTGAGCCCTTTTGGGTGCATACGTGGGCCGGCCATGGCCACTGGCGCGCAACCTGGGGCCTGCGCACGGCGCATGCGCTGCCCAGCCTGGCTTGGCTAGTGCTGCTGGCGCGCACGCCGGGCTGTGCAGGGCCCCGCGGCCATGGGAGGAAGGGCATTGCTGGCCGGCACCGCGGGGTCGGCACTGCGGGCGCTCCCCAGCCCAGCCTGGCCACTGCTGCTGGTGCATGCGCTGGGCCGTGCAGGGCCCCGCGGTCATGGGGAGTAGGGCGCAGCTGGCTGGTGCTGCGGGAGCCAGGCGCGCAGCGCCTGATGGCAGCTGTAAGGGACGCCGCGCACCCCTTACAGCTGTCATCAGGCGCCCCCCATCAGTTGGCGCCCCGGGCAGCTGCTCAGCTCACCCATGCCTCAGTCCGGCCCCGTTCACAAGTACTTACTAAATGCTAAATTATTCAAAGCACCCATCTACCCTATTTTCAGCAATAGCAAAAAATCTAACAAACCAAGAGCAGATGGAAGAAAGGAAGCTCCTCTCCCTCCCTCCATACACAGGCAGTAACTGATGTGAAAAGCTATTACAGAAAATGCAGCCAAAGAAACTGTGAGCCCTTATTTTGAAACAACAAGCGGAGCGTCCACACTACCAAGCCCATTATTTTGAAATAACAGTCGTGTTATTTTGAAATAATAACTTATGCTTGTCATGAGGAATAGTGCTATTTTGAAATAGTTATTTTGGGAGTTATTTCGAAATAACTTATTTCCAAATAACTTCCTAGTGTAGACATGCCCTAAGAGACCAGTTCTCTGCAAAGTAAATTACTCTGTGCAGAAGGAAACTTTGAAGTATCCAGAAACAAATAAAATTAGCCAGTGGGTCACCCAGAGATTTACTGTAGAAATGCCGAATGTCCTGCCATTCTGAAGGAAAATTCAGGCATTTGTGAAAGAGCCAAGAGGTTGGGAGGCATGGGCTTATGTCAGAAGAATGCTTCTATATAAAGCTGACATTAAATCTGCATATGAAATTATTGATTCAGCTATACTCTGCCATGTTGCCTTCTGCCACAATCCCAGCAGATCTCATCAAATAAAACAGGTGTGGGTTGGTTCAAGCAACAACTGGACATAGACCCAAGTACTGCAGAATACCAGTATTGGTGACTCAGTAACTGGTATTCTTCCTTTAAGCCCTTACTAAAACAATCCCTCAACACAGCCCAAGGTAATACTCAGCTTCTCATCTTTTGAATTAAAAATTTAAAACTGAGGTCTACCAGACAGTCTGGCACTAGTCTCTAATCTGGCACTCACTGGTCCAGCAACATCCATGGTGCAGCATGATTTTAGTTAGCCGGGTGTGGCCAAGTTTCCTGTGTTATCATAAAATTTGTTTACAGCCACCAGTCCTGGCTCCCAGTGTTCTATGCTGTTATTTAGCTCTAATTTATCCCTAAATGTCTTCTAAGATCCCAGAAAGCAGTTGAAGTGTTGGCAATGCTGCTAGATGATATTGACCTCCCGTGGTTTGGCAAATTCTCTGGTATGGCATCAGTCAGGTCCCGAGGCTGCTGGATTAGAGAGGTTAAATCTGTACTAACTCCTAGTTAAATTACAGGTCATGTAATTACATTGGCTAGCATACTGTTCATCAGTCACATCCTCAATTGTTGTGTAGTACATAGAGCAGCGATGGGCAACCTTAGCCAGTGAGTGGGTTGCATGAGTGGCCCTCATTCATCTTGGTGGGCCACAAAATTGTCGTAACCAAGACAGTTTCCTGCGATAAGGTAGTTTTGCTAACTGCGCTTGCATGCCTACACTTTGCGGGGTGTGCCGATTGAATTGCAGCAGTGCTTGGATGCAAAGGGAGCACATGCCTCCCACCGGCAATGCTGCGTGCAATCAGTACGCACCACACTTCACATACCCTTGCTATAAGTGCACGTAATTTTTGTAATCCTGGCAGGAAAAAAAAAATCTATGTGGATGAAAACTAGCAGAATCTGGCAACTTTGTGTGGGGGCAACAGTTAAAAAAAAAAAAAAAAGTTTTGTGGGCCACAAATATAAACCCAATAGGCTGGTTGTCCACCACTGGACTATTGAACAGGTGCTACTTACAGCACAAGGCATTTTCAATGATGGGTGAAGTGATTCCCTACCTAATACACAACAACATGTCATATTTTGTTTACAGAATGCTCAGTGGCCCTCCCACAAAAGGCACTAGAATTGCCTATATTTAATTGGACTGAAGCTTTTGTAATAAATTCTGTAAGCAGGGGGAAAAAAAAATCACAAATCTGATATTTTTCATGTTTTTCTCAAAGCTTCAGCTTTTGTTTTTCAAAACTCAACACTGCAGATAAAGGCTTGAAAAACATGAACGTAAAAGATTAAAACCCAGATGGCAAATAAAATATCCCAGTGTTTTGGCTCAAATATTATGATTTACAACAAATGAATAATTTTTTTAAAGGGGGGGCTGACAGTTTTTAAATGCTGGAGGTTGGAGATACTCCCTTGTTTCACCCCTAAGGGTACATCTACATTGCATGGCCACTGAAATAGCTACCCTGTATCTACACAAGCTGCCATCTCAATAATATTTTTCGAAATAACGGGTGCGCTATTTCACCATTCCAGTAAACCTTGTTGCACGAGGAATAAGGGATGGTTCGAAATAGTGTGTTACAGCTGTGTAGATGCACCAAATTTCAAAATAGTTTCGAAATAAGATAAGCAATTTGCATAGTGCAAATTGTGTATTTTATTTTGAGTTTAGGGTGTAGATGCACCCTTGGAGATGCCTGGCCAAATGAATAGCTCAGGGATAGAGTCAGTCTGTCTACTCCTTCTGGCTGAGTAAGGAGCTACCAGTTGACCCATCAATACCCTATCTGGTCCTGCCTCCCACACCTCCACGGTGCATATGTACTCAGGCAGCACCCAGCATGTCTCACCTGTGGGCTGCCTGCTCTATGGTCTCCCCGGCTTGCACTTTGCCCCCGAATCCATTCCATCGCCCGGCCCCGAATCCACGTTTCTTCATGCCCAGCAGCACCCGTTGGGGCTGCACCACCACCACCAGGGTGAAGAGCTTGCTGGTGAACATCGCCCCTGTGTGTGCAAAGGGAAATGGGTCTGAGCCGGGCACGGCTAGGCGAGCACGATCAGACGCCGCGGCCTGTGCCCGCCGCGCATGGAACGCGCCAGGAGCGGGGCTGGAGCAATTTGTGTAGTGGGGGTGCTGGGATCCCCAAACTGCAAAGCGTGCAAATGACGGAAACCACTTCAAAGCAGCGGATGCAGCAGCAGCACCCCCACACCGACTGCCTGCGGAGCACGGGCACCAGCCAGTGGCTCCCCCGGAGGCGCCCGCGGCGTTCCCCTCGC